TTGACAATCTCCATGAGTCTCTGGATTCCTGATAACCCTGGTCTGGCAGCAACATCATCTCCTTCTCACAGCTGAGTGCTTTGGTGGCTTCCAGTTAGTTTCACACCTTTGACTTTTTTCATGCCACTTCACAATTTTTCTTGTAGCTATGGCTGGACCCCAAAGAGTTTGTGGAAATAAACTTTTGTGCTTCCAAAGAGTGACTACTCAAGAAGGCTGACATTGAGAGGAATCAGAGTGGAAAAGGGACCACGTGGGTTGAGGGTGGCACCAAAGCATTCCCTTTTACCGAGGCTAGACCCTGCAAGTGTGTGCTGCTGCGGAAGCACAGTAGAGGGGAAGAGGGCCGTGGAGACGGCTGTGTACCTCCCAGGGGTAAAGCTGGGTGACAGAAAGCAGGGAGGAGGGCGGGCAGGTGCGTCAGGGCCCTGTTGAGAAGGAGCTGTGACAGCAGGAGAGAAGCCTGTGGCTGCTTTGGTAGTGGCCACTAGAGCGCTACTGGGGGTCCTCCGGGAGCAGGGGGACATCAACTCAAAGCGAAATCCAGACATGGGCATGGCAGGGCTGGTGGAAAGGAACAAAGCAGGATCCAGGTGACTCCTTCCCGAAGACTCGTCGGTTGGAGGGGGACAGGTGTTTGGTAAAGCAGTGAAGAGGCCACTCGAGACACCTGCGTCCCCTATCAGAGTGTCCTGCCTCCTTTCCGATTCAGCTTCCTGCTCATGCAAGCCTGGGAGGCAGCAGGTCCTAGCTTAAATACTTGGGTCTCTGCCACCCACGTGGGAGAACTGGACTGAGTTCTGGGCTCTTGGCTTCAGCCTGGCCCAGATGCTCCCCAGCATTTGCAAGCATTTGTGTGGAAGACTTTCCCCTGTCTCTGTCCCTCTGCCTTTCAATTAAAAATAAATAAATAAATTTTAAGAAGAACTATAGGAGGTGTGCTGACTCTTTTAAAGGAAACTAGAAAGCAAGGTCAGGGAGCTGACTTATAGTGAAGAATTAATGAGTTGCAGTAATTGTAGGCCACCCGAGTGAAGATGTTATTATTTTGATTATTATTGGCTCTATGATAAGTTCTTATTAACACATATTGAGAACTTACTCTCTGCTGGGTATCTTAAGCTCTTCACATGCATCATCCAATATAATGCCCCCATTGTATAGATGAGGAGACTGAGGAAGTCCTGGTCCAAGTTCCCATAGTTAGTGAGAACCCAGGTCCCTGACTTCAAAGCTCCCAACCACCACAAGGCTCTGGCATTGGGGCAAGGGCTCAGAAGCCGGGCCTGGCCACAGAGAAGACAAAGGAGGTTCTTAAAATGGCTGAGACCTCCCCTAGGAAGTTAGGAGGAGGATGGGGAGACTTGATGTTTATTGAGTGACATAAGACGAGTCACTGCACTGTCACTTCCATCATCAGGCCCCTAAAAGCAGGGGGCTTTGGAGCTGCTGTTGGCAGCCCAAACACAACAGCACACCGGCCCCGGCACAGGGGAAACCTTAAGGACGTGAGAAGGAGGCTGCTTGCTGCTGCCGCTCTATGATTCAAGTTTCAACAGATGTTTTATCTACTTAGCATACTTTCTCAGGTTCTGAGTCTCGGAGCTGAGCTTCAAGCAAAACTGATACAGTGAATGCAGAGATGGGGCAGGGGAGGAAGAGGCAGGTTTGGGGGTCACTGCACTTTTCAATTATTCTTCGGGAACCTGGGGCATAGTCTAGGATGGGGGAGGTAGTGGGAGAAACCAGAGAGGACATCCGGAGGGGAAGGCAGGTGTAGGAGTCGGAGGAAGGAGGAAGGAAGGTCTGCAGGGGACGAGCTGGGCAGCGTTTCCGCTCTCCTCCCTCACTGTTGTCACCAGTCCCCAGACCCAGCACATCTTGCCTCTTTTTTCATCTCCAAAAAGAACAGAAAAGTTGTAAACCGAAGTCAGATTAACCCTCTTCCCCTCCAAACCAACTCCATCAGAGGTGTCCCTCTCTTGGTCCCCAAGCACCAATGCCTGCTCTTTCCCCATCCCACATCCCTACAGGGGCCACATCCAGTCCAATCTACCTCAGCAGGCCTTCCCTGGGACCCCCGAGAGGAGGATAGAACCCAGAGAAAGCCCCTCGCCTGCTACTCCCACCCAGAGCCCGTGAGGCCAGATGGGGATGCAGGGGATAGTCCACCTCCAGTCCCTCCCGTCTCATGTCTGTCTGCCTCTCTACAGGCTGAAAATTCCCAGGGCCCAGCACACCCTGGGTTTGTGACAAGTGTCTGTAGAATGAGTGCATGAACATGTAACAAAAGGCTGGTCTCCCTGGCTGGCACAGCGCTGGGTCACAGGGGCTCTCGGCACCTCCATGGCAGAGCTGTGCAAGGCATTAGCTCTGGTTCAAGGCCGACTGGCACAGAGCAGGCTTTAGTCACCCTGGCTGCAGAGTGCATGCACTGGGCACCCAACCCTGGGCCCAGCACCTTGCCTCCCACACCCAAGCCCCACCCCCAGCCAGAGCCCAGCTCAAGCCTTTTGCCATTGTCCAAGCAGGACAATGGGGTGGGCTGGAAGCTCCTGGGAGGCAGGGACTTTGTCTCATCCAGGTGTGTACCCCTGGGGAAGGTTCATGGTAGGCAGCTGACAAATGTTCAAGGAGGGAAAATGAAGAGAAGCATTTGCTATGGTCTGAATGTTTGTGTACCTCTCAAATTCATATGTGGAAATCCTGTCCCCAAGGTCATGGTCCTGGGAGGCGGGGCTTCTGGAGGTGATTTAGGGCGCTGTCCCCTTAATGAGATTAGTGTTGTTTGTTTTTAAAGGTTTACTTATTCAAAAAGCAGAGTGACAGAGACAGGGAGAAACAGAGATCTTCCTTCCTCACTCCGCCAAACAGCTGCAATGGCCGAGGATGGGCCAGGCCAAAGCCAGGAGCCTAGAACCCCATCTGGATCTCTCACATGGGTGGCAGAGGCCCAAGCACCTGGGCCATCTTCTGCTGTTCTCCCAGGCACATTAGCAGTGAGCTGGATCAGAAGTGGAGCAGCCAGGACTTGAACCTGTGCTCATGTGGGATGCTGGCGTCCCAAGCTGAGGCTTAACTCTCTGCGCCACATCGCCAGTCCCTGGAGAAATTAGTGTCCCTACAGAAGAGTCTAAGAGAGACCCCATCACCCTTTCCACCACTGAAGTCACCGCAAGGAAGTAATCCTCATCAGAGAACGAATCTGCGAGCCAGGAGAGAGAAATTTCTGCCATTTGTAAGCCTCCCAATCTGTAGACCCACATGGGCCTTACAAGGTGCTGTTCATTAGACACCAGCATCTTTGACCCACAGGTGTCACTCAAGTCGAAGAGCAGTTATGGGCAGGTCCTCTGGCGTCTGCACTTCCTGATGAGAAACAAATGCACAGAAGACTGTTTCAAGAGCCTTCAGTGCTTTGGTAACAGAGAACTAGAGTTGGCTCCAAGCAGGTTTTTTTTTTTTTTTTTTTTTTTTTTTTTTTTTGCTCTAAAGGCCATCCATATTCATTCCACCACCCCTGCAGATCTGAGGCCTGGAAGGGGGATCCAGGGGCAAAACCCTGGCATGTCATAATCCCCCCCAGACTAAGTGCTCCTTCCCCATCCCCACTCACAAGAGGTGAGAGCAGGCTCTGCATGGGGAGGAAGACAGCTCCCCTAGGCCTCCAGGCAGCTCACTAGGAAAGCATTGCTAAGGCTGTGTCTCTCAGATGCTAGGGATAGGGAACAGGGAATGCCTTCTGAGACCTAGAGGGCCAGGGTAGGGTCTGGTTGCCAAGGGTAGGCCCCTCAGATTCTACATTTGACCTTGAGAGCCTCATTCTTTGGCTGAGGGCTTTGGGACCCCAAGAAAACAGCTGGAGGTCAGGACATATCCATGTTCTAGCAGGACCAAATGTCCCATGAGTGAGAAGAGAGGCAAAGCCAGGGAGCTCAGCACAGACTTGACCCCAGAGCAGGGAGAGCTGGGTAAAAGTGTATACTGGGAGGGGCTGGCGCTGTGGCACAGCAAGTTAACACCCTGGCCTGAAGTGCCGGCCTCCCATATGCGCGCCGGTTCGAGTCCCGGCTGCTCCTCTTCTGATCCAGCTCTCTGCTATGGCCTAGGATAGCAGTAGAAGATGGCCCAAGTGCTTGGGGCCCCTGCACCCATGTGGGAGACTTGGAAGAAGCTTCTGGCAGCTGGAAAGGGCCCGGTGGACCTACCAGTGGCTTAGAGCTCTGCCTCTGGAGCTCCGTGCCCTTGAGCAAGCCACTGATCTCATTTGTAACATGGGGATTGTTGCACACATCACAGGGTTGTGCTGAGCATGGAACCAGATGGTACTGGAGAGGGTGTTTGGCGTTGTGACTTCGGATGCTGTCTCCGCCAGCAGAGTGCCTGAGTTTGAGGCCTGGCTCCACTTCTGACCCAGCCCCTTGATACTGTGCACCCTGGGAGGCAGCAGATGATGGCTCAGGGACGTGGGTCCCTGCTACCCACTTGGAGACCTGGACTGAGATCCCAGCCCCCAGCTTTGACCTGGCCCAGCTGCAGCTGTTGTGGGCACTTGGGGAGTGACCCAGTGCATAGGAGATCTCCAATCTTTCTGTCTCTGTTTCTCTGCCTTTCAAATAAAATAAATGAATAAAAATAGTCAAATGTCGTGATGCATGGAATAAAACCCTACCTAATAAAATGTATGGAAGAAATGGAAAGAAGCCATTTCATGAACTTCAGTTAAATTGAGTAAATGGACATTGGGTTTGCAGCTTTCATTTCACTGGTCTTAGGTTAACATTCCCTTATATTTTCTCATTTTCCCTTCTGATTTGTGCTTGGGTGGCTGGGGAATGACAATGAACATTAATTGAAGGCCTAATCAGTGCTAAATCAGTCCTCGGAGTTTAGCCCCTAGACAGATTGTATCAACCTCCTGGGATACAAAACAGAAATGCAAATTCTTGAACCTTCTCCAGACATGTGATTCAGAAACTCAGGGTGGGGCACAGCAACTATTTAATAACTCCTGGGGCAGTGATGATTCACACGAAAACAGCCAAGTGTTTTACATGAATAAGCTCATTTAATGCCAGAAAAGCCCAGGGAGGTAGGAATCCATACTCCTGGTTTACAGGCAAGGAACACAGGGTTTGGAGCACTAGGTGGCTTCGCCCAGCTCCCCACTGGTCAAGGAACCCCAGGCCCATGGAACCCACACTACTGCCTTTCTGCATGCTTCCTCCTGGAAGGGGGCTGGTTTTGTTCTAAGAGAACCTCCCATAGGAGCAGCTGAAGAGGACTGAAGAAAGGGCCAGCTATTTCTCCATGGCCTGCTAGGCAGCCTGGATTGTCATCATCTAGGGAAACAGGCAAAGGGGCCGGCATTGTGGTGTAGCACATGAAGCCTCCAGCTATGATGCTGCATCCCATGTGGGCGCCGGTTCGAGTCCCAGCTGCTCCACTTCCAATCCAGCTCTCTGTTAATGTGCCTAGTAAAAGCAGAAGAAGATGATCCAAGTGTTTGGACCCCTGCCACCCATGTGAGAGACTGGATAAAGCTCTTGGCTCCTGGCTTCAGCCTGGCCCAGCCCTGGCCATTGCAGCCATCTAGGGAGTGAACCAGCAGATGGAATATCTCTCTCTTGCTCTATGTCTCTCTCCCCACCCCCACTCTTGCAAATAAGTGAATAACTAAATCTTTTTTTTAAAAGGGGGGGGGGGCGTAAAAAAGAAAACAGGCAAATTTTAACACTGGCTCTGTCCCACTACTAAAGTGGAGCCAGGAAGCTCCACTGCCGGTTTGCAGCATGCCCAGGGCATCTGCTAGGTGCCGAGCCTGGATTCCAGCGGCATTGCCTGCTGCATTTGATGCTGTCAGAGAGGGACTAAGTCCCCACTATTTGCAGGCCTTGTCCCAGAGGCCTTGCCACACCATCCGGGGGAGGAGGTCTGAAGAGACCCAGCGACATAAGTTTGGAAGCCACGGGGCTAGTTTCCCGTACGCCTACTCTCCATTATGCTGCCCTGTGACAGCCAGGGGGCTAGGGGAGCACAGTTCCCGGATCCAGACAGCTGTGCTCTTGGCTTGGCACCCCACAGTCAGTCTGGGCTCGATGCCTCTGGGGAAAGCCAACCCGACCCTCGGCAGTCTGGGGAGGTGGGCAGGTGCGCGCCAGGCGCCAATAGTCTTTGGCAGAGCGGCCCCGTAGAGACCTCCAGCGGCCGCGAGGTGGCGCTGCGAGCCAGGCCACTCCTGAACCCTCCCCGAGGACCCGGGACCCGGGATCCTGCACGCGCGTGGACTCAGCCGCCCCCAAAGGACCCGATTCCAAGGGCGCAGAAAGTAGACGCGAAGGACACTCGCTCCCTCCCCCTGGGATCCCTCCCTGCTCCCTGCTTTTCCCTGCTGTGAGCTCTGCGGAGGGTGGAGCCGCCCTGAGGGGAGCAGGACCCGGGCGGGCGGAGTCTCCCAGCGGCTGCAGTCTCCTGAGCTCCGTTCCTCTTCGCTCTCGGCTCCTCCCCGGCCGGCCGGCCAGTCCCGGCCCCTGCTCGCGCCTTGCAACTGCGGACTTTAAATATTGCACAACTAAACAGCAACCTTGAACTTTTCGCTGTAAAGAGTGCTCTGACTTGTAAACTTAGCCATCCAAGTTCCCTTTTGCAGCAAAAAAATAAGTTAAAAGTCGGGGGCAGAGTCAGTCTCGTACTTGCTGTCACCTCTTTCTAAAGTCCTCTCCCCTCACTTGAGCAAACCATGCATACTTGTGTGTGTGCTCTGGATCTACCATTAAAAAATGTGAGACATTGAATAAAAGTTCTTTAACTTCCTTCAGCCTCACTTCTCTCATCTGTAAGGTGGAAGTAAGACCAATATCCACCTCATGAGTCGTTGCAAAACATGTAAATCATTTGGAATCATGAGTGGACCCCATAGTAGGTGCTCAGCTAATGTTACCATTGTTAGTGCATTACTTCCGACAGGTGCGGTGAGCACCAGTGTTTTGGCACTGGATTCAGGCAGTCTTGTATTTCCAGCTTCTTCTCATACAGAGGTCCTGTTAGCAGATTGGCTGAAATAGGGGTTCTTGTCTTCTCTCTGGAGAAGAGAATTTCAGAGGTGAAGCAGAGTGTAGCAGGAAGCGAGGTAGCAAGGTTGAATGAAACAGTGCATCTATGTCAGAATGGAGGAATGCCTCTCCAGACGAATCCGAGGGAGCATGCCTGGTCTATATTCAGAGTGGGGTTACAAAGGCATGGTGCCCGCTTCTTCCAGCCATTCCCCACCCACCCAACTCTCTTCTCCTGGACAAAGGGTTTCCTGGGTGCAAAACTGGTGAAAGTCTAGGACTGGGACGCTTTGCTTGGGGGGAAGGTTGGGACCACCCCTAAAGTTATCGGGGTGTGAGCAGGACTTTGTAGTGTCAAATACTGGGCTGCTTCCAAGGCTGCTGCATTCCTTTCTGCAGGCGCTTTGTTTTCCTTGGACCCTTGCACGCATGGAGGCTAATTTCTATCTTCCTCCCTAAGAGTTCCTCCAGCCAGGGCAGTGCCTTACATGTCTCTATACTCAGGAGCTCCCAGCACAGACCCTAGCTTAGTGCAGGCCGTAGTGTCCTCTGGGATTAGAGAGATGTATAAAGGCCCGCTGGACAGAGGGGAAGAACCTGGCTATGACCTTAGCCTTGACCCAGGGACAGAACTCTTGCCTCTGCGCGTGGCCCCCATAGGTTAACAGATATCTGGGTCTGGAGTTCTTCTGGGAGTTTATGGTTCTTTCCCGACTTTTCCCTCCCAAGAGTCAGATCTTTCCTCGGCATCTCTCTCTGTGTTGCATTGCCCAGGGCCAGGCAGCAGGTCTTGCTCGCCTTGTACAAGTGCGCCACCCCTGGTGACTGCCTGCCTGACACCCTGCCTCTGGAGCTTCATCAGATCATGAAAGAAGCTGCGATCAGCTCCTAGGAGGCCATCAGAGGGCTCTGCTGAAGCTGTGTGCCAGCACTCAGATCTCACTGCATTGCTAACCACATATGCAAATGAGAGTGTCAGAGGTATTGGGGTGCCTTGGGGTCGAAAGCGCTGCTGGTTCATCTAGGAAGGTGTCCTGGTGTGGGAGTGGGGAGAGGCTAAGCTGTCATTGAGATGGGGTGAGAGGAGGGTGTGGTTGGGGCCATAGCCTGGCCTTTTCTGGTTCAGGTCCTCACTTGAGTCATTCCAGAGTTCCCCTCGGGCCACCGGGAACCCTCCAGCATGTGACATCGCTCAGGAAGCAAGCTGGGTTCCTGGAAGACATTGCCCTCAGAAAGTAACGCCACCCCCGCCACCCCCGCACCTTTCCTAGAAATCCTCTCCGCAGCTGGGAATGAGTAGGATGAGGCCAGGACTAGGCAGGACCACATTCAGGGCTTGGGGTGCCCTGGGTACTCTTGGGGCTGCATCAGGGCTCCCTGGTGATACCTACTTCCTGGGGGGGGGGGGTGCTTGGTTGAGTGAGTGGCACCCTAGGCCCCTGCTCGGCGGGAAGGGTGGGGCACCAGCTCCCCTCCTGTGTCTCTGCCGGGACTCTGAGCTGGGACCCAGGCCCTCTGCCGTGATTCATCCGCTGTGAACGCATCACCCTGGGGTTTGGCTCTGGTCCTCAGATGGCTCAAAAGTCCTTTCTTTTGGGTTTGGCTCAATTTTTTTTTTTGGTAGTATTTTCCTTTGAAATGGGAAGTCTGTTTCTGACAAAAATAAATTGAAGCCCCAAGTTTAATGTTGGCTCAGAGCATAAAAAGAAATTGAGATTTTTATCCTTGTGTTTCCCTATTTTTGATTTTATAATTCAAATAATAGCCTGCGAGCTGATGCAACAATTGTACCCATTTTACAAAGAGGAAAACTAAACCCAGAGAAGCAAATTGTCCAACCCACAGAACTAGGGAAGTGGTAGCGTATGCGCTATATGCCTACTTAGTACCAGCCCTTTTAGGGGCAAATGAAAATATTTTAATTTCCTTTGGAAATAGGGAGAAAATGAGTTTGAAGTGAAAAGAAATTTGGACAGTCCCTCTGTAAGGGAGCCAGGCCTACAGCCTAGCACACAGGAAACAGTGTTGGACAAAGTGCTGAGTAGATGGGCAGGGGGCTCCCGAAGTAGCTGGGATTCGCGTATAGAAGGCTGAGCGTGAATGGTGAGATGTGAGAAAGTGGAGACCATTGAGGACTGGAGAACTTAGGGTACGGAGAGGAGAGCCGAGGCTGCGGCTGCACAGGGGCCCTGCTGACAACTCATGAACGCTCAGTTTCAGAAGCACTTTTGGAATTCTTTTTTTTTTTTTTTTACATCTCATTTCAAAGACTGCCCATTGAATATTACTTCTGTGTTCATCTAACCAGGGATGAAAAAGCCCAATTGTCACTTAAACTCCCAAATGATTATCTTACGCAATGAAAGAGTAAACAGGACTTTTGGTTTTGCTCATTGCTTTTTCCTGTTAGCCATTAACTAATATTCTTTTTTTTTTTAGCAGTTGCTGTCCACCAATAATTAGCCAATTTCCAAAATAGCATAGTAAGAAACCATCTCGCTTCCTTATTTTTGCATCAAACCAAGCATTGCGTGTGGTTTCCATGGAACCAATTGTTGGTTTACAATCAGGCTTCTCCAAGCTAGGGATTGGTTGAGGTGCCTCAGGAGACAAGAGGATGTTCTGGGGTGGGAAGCTGGGGACCCGTTTTCTACCTGAACCTGAGCTAGGGGCAGGCATTGTGGTGCAGCAGGTTAGGCTGCCACTTGCAATGCTGGTGTCCTGTATCGGAGGGCTGGCTGGGGTTCCAGCAGCACTACTTCCAATCCAGCTCCCTGCGAATGCACCTGGGAAGGCAGTGGACGATGGATGGCCCAAGTGCTGGCTCCTGGCTTTGGCCTGGCCCAGCCCTAGCTGTTGTGGGCATGTGGGCATTTAGGGAGTGAACCAATGTATGGAAGATCCTCTCTCTCTCTCTCTCTCTCTCTCTCTCTCTCTCTGTCACTCTGCCTTTCAAAGAAATAAATAAGCCAAAAAAAAAAAAAAAAAAAAAAAAACCACACACCAAACCTGAGCAAGCTTTTTAAAAATGTCTATGTAGGGGTTCTATGAAAGGTTTCATTTTTAAAAAAGAGGACCCTCTGGGAAAAATACTAAACTTGAAAGCCATTTCATGAAAACTTTAAGAGAAATGAGAACTCTAAGAACTCATTTATTTTATTCTATGCCTATTCTGAGAACAGCCTAAAGTGTGTGCAAAAAGACATGAACTGTAGCAAGATTTGTTTTTTAAGTACACCAGGAAATTGAAAGAAGGAAAAAGAGTAGTAGGAAAAGTGAGACATCCACAGGGTAAGCTTCCTGCACACAGCAGGGAGGGGAGCTGGCCAGAGGTCGGGAAGCCCAGGCTACAGCTGGTGGGCAGGTTCTCAGGAAGCTCACGTGTGCCTCCATCTGCAGCGCACAAGGAGACCACTTCCTGGCCAGGGCCTGCGCCCTCCATGTTGCTCCTGGAACACCAGGGAGAGGCTTTTGGAGGACTGGTCTGACTTGGGATGAGCATGCACTCGTCAAGCCTGCTACCTTCTCTGTCCTTCCTTCTCCTAAAGTCTCACAGGCCATGGCAAGCGGAGGCCTATGCCTGCCCCACCACACCATCCCATAAACCCTGGCCATACGCGCCCTTCTCTACTCTACACGCTGCAGACACGCTATACCAAAAGACATCAGAGTGGCAAGACCTAAAGATTTATATGTTTATTTGAAAGGCAGAGAGAGAGAGAGAGAGGGAGAGGGAGAGAGAAGAGAGAGAGATCTTCTGTCTGCATGTTCACTTCCCAAATGGCCAGGACAGTTAGATCCGTGTCAGGCTGAAACCAGGATCTAGGAACTCCACCTAATCTTCCATGTGGATGGCAGGAACTCAAGTACTTTTTAAAAAGATTTATTTATTAATTATTTGAAAATCAGAGTTACATAGAGACGTCTTCCTTCCATTAGTTCACTCCCCAATTGGCCGCAATGGTCGGAGCTGTGCTGATCCGAAGCCAGGAGCCAGGTGATTGTTCCTGGTCTCCCATGTGAGTGCAGGGGCCCAAGCACTTAGGCCATCCTCCACTGCCTTCCCAGGCCACAGCAGAGAGCTGGACTGGAAGAGGAGCAACCGGGACTAGAACCTGGCACCCATATGCGATGCCAGCACTGCAGGCGGAGGATTAACCAAATGAGCCATGGTGCCAGCCCTCACCAGCTCATTTAATCGTCAAAGCAAGTGAGCAAGGTAGGCATTATCAGTCTCGTTACACAGGGAGGAGCTTGAGACCCAGAGGGCACAGCCAACTCATCTCTACTTCCCCCAGACCACAGCATCTCTGCTCTCTGCGTAGCCACCACCACATGCTCTGGTGCCCCCTCAACCCATGGCACAGAAGTTCCTTCATGAGGGCTCTCAGAATCTTTTTCGCTCCTGCTCCTGCCACAGATGGTCACTTCCTCAAAAACCCAAAAAGCTGTGTTTGCTCACTGTCTTCACACCCACCCCTCCAAGGCCAAGGACCCTGCGTGAAGGTGTTCGTAAGTGGGCCCTATTAGATGCTCTAGTGGCTATGCCTGCCTAGCAGCTGGCGTGCCAGGTGGAAATGTGGAAATGAGGAAACAGCCATAAACAAGGTCTGTGAGCTTTCATCACTCCCAACAGTGCTTATGAATAAAGACCCAGTCATGTAAATCATCATGCAAATGAGGTGCCCTTTGAGTCCTCTCAACCCAAATACTGGCAGAAAAACTCTGCTCCTCCAAACTCATCCCTGCCCTGATGACTCAGGGAGAAACCGTGTAGTAAGTCACCCAGCAGCTTCCTAAAGCAAACTCAGTCCCTGCCTGCCCATCCTCTGCACCCCACCCCCACGCTGGCACAGGCCCGCTGTCCTGGCAGGGCAGTGAAAGTGGCTGCCCAGGAAAGCACGCTCATCCAGTCCTGGGGAACCCTCGGTCCAGGAGAGGCCTGGAGAGAGCTGGTGTCAGACCTCGCTTATGTCTGGCCAAAGTGTCATTGATCTGGACAGTGCATAGGCTTTATGGCAATTTAGGGATCAAAGTTTCCTTTTGTATCATCTAAGAGGAAACGAATTTGTAATTAAATGGGTTCAGTCATCTGCTCATCTGCACGATTATATTACATGAAAACATACCGAAGCAGAGATAGGAAACAAAAACTCTGAAAATGGTCCTGGTTGCCACGAGGTTGCCTGTCGGAGCTCAGCCTGTGGGAGAGAAGTGAGCATTTTCAGGTTGTCTGGAGGCCCCCGAGTGCGGCAGAGAGCAGACCCGGAGCGCTCAGGTCACGCTCACCTCTGGGGCAGATTCGCAGGCACCTCTCGCCAGCCCTCTGCACTCCACTCAAGGGTAACACACATCCTTGGGACAAATAGAAGTTCCAGACCCGCCATGTTGGGCATTGTCCCCACGGGCAGCGGCCTTTCCTGTCTGAGTTTTGCTTTGCTCCCAGTGATGCCAGCAGGAGCTGCTTTTCCCAGAGCACGTGGCTGTGTGCTGGGTACGGCCAGGTTTGAACCTTCCTGGGGCTGAGGAGGCAGAGAGGAGGCAACTCAAGGCCAGTGAGGACAGATCATGCGAAGGGTGCTCGTCCTGGGACTGCTGGATCAGGGGATCAGGAAGGGCATTTCTTGAGTAACCTGTTGGTTTTAGGGGAAGGAGGAAGCCACACAATCCCTTCACAACCTCCTCTGTGTCTACCCTTTCATAGCCTAGGTGTGCTACGGAGTTCTAGGAGTCACATCATCTGCTTCAAGCCTCTTTTGTTGGTAAGTGTTGCATCTGGTCTAGCATTTCCATTAGAAGGTAGCTTCAATTGTACCTTTTTATCATTACACCTTGTGCCTGTGTAATAGGGAAAAAAGCCTGGGAAAACCATAGCATTGAACAATACTGGTTCAATAAATTACAGAACATCTATTCCATAGAATATTATGCAGTAGTTTAAAAGAATGAGGTCTGCTTTGATGTGTGAACTTGAGTGTATCCAAGTTATATGATGTGAAAACGCAGATATCTGGTATCATCTCATCTGAGTCCAAAAGGAGAGGAAGAGATCTTCATACAGACGTCTTTGTGTGCATGGAGCATTTCCGGTCACCCACAGTAGGCATTGGAATATCCACTGCTTATATGTAAGGAGTCTTGAGGGCAGAGGTAGAGGGAAGACAGCTTTACTGTGCATCATTTGGTACCTTGGATGGTTTTTAAAATTTTGTGTGACTGTGTGTAGATTTTGCACTTTACATTTCCAGTGATTTTGCAGTCATTTAAAATGATGTTTCTAAAGATTAACATAGCAACATAGAAAATGTTTACAATGTAAAGTGAAAACAGCAAGAATCAAAGTCAATATGTGCATTTCAACTGTATAAAGATGAAAAAATAAAAGAAAAGAAGGTTCAGAATAAAATGAACAAAATTTAAGAATAGCTTTGGGGGCCTGCGCTGTGGCGTAGTGGGTAAAGCCGCCGTCTGCAGTGCCAGCATCCCATATGGGCTCCGGTTTGAGTCCCAGCTGCTCCACTTCCAGTCCAGCTCTCTGCTGTGGCCTGGGAAAGCAGAAGATGGTCCAAGCCCTTGGGCCCCTGCACTTATGTCTCTCTCTCTCTCTCTCTCTCTCCTGCTCTCGCTCTCTCTATACCTCTGCCTCTCCTTCTCTCTCTGTGTAACTCTGACTTTCAAATAAATAAATAAATCTTTAAAAAAAAAGAATAGTTTTGTTGTGGAGTTGGATTTCCCACACTTATAAAAATTAAATTCATGGGTATAGCTTTCTACAAGAATGTACCCATGTAAGCGTGCATTTGGAGAATTTCATGCATCTATATATAACCATCACCACAGTCAAGACACAGAACATCTCCATTATCCCAGAAAGTTTCCTTGAACTCCTTCCATTCCTTCCAGGCCCACGGCAATGACGTGTTTTCTATTGCTTTAAATTAAATTTTATTGTCTGTAATTGCAAATGAGAATCACACAGTACATCCTCTTTTAGTGTCTTGCCTTCTTTGTGTTTAGCAAAATGTTTGTGTTCAGACTTTCCTGCCTAGGTAATCAGATCCTGACAAGACTTCTAGCTGAACGACTACACTTCCCAGACTCCCTTACAGCTAGGTGTGGCCATATATAAAATGATGGCCAGGGCAGGTACTGTGGCACAGCAGGTTAAACAGCTACGTGGAATGCCCACATCCCATGTTAGAGTGGCTAGCAGCAAGTCTTGCCTCTGCTTCCAACCTGAACTCTTGCTAATGTGCCTGGGAGGCAGGGATGATGGCCCGAGTACTTGGGTGCTTGCCATCCTGTGGTTCCTGGCTTCAGCCTGATCCAGCCCCAGCTGTAGGGGGCATTTGGGGAATGAACCAGAGAACTAAAGACCTCTCTGTCTGTCTCTCCTTCTCTCTATGTGTCACTCTGCCTATCCAATAAATAAATCTTAATAAAAATCACTGAGACAAATTAAAGAATATTTAAATAAATGAATAGATACATCATATTCATGGATTAGCAGATTCAATGTTACCAAAATGCCAGTGCTCCTCAAGTTGATCTATAGAATCAATGCAATCCTGTTTGAAAACAGCTATGGTTCTTAGACATTGACAAGCTGATTCTAAATTCATGCAGAAATTTGAAATTCATACTAAAAGCTAAAATAGAATAAGGCAAATGCTATGAGAGACAGGTACAAGTTTCAATAACAGCACAGAAGAGGAAAGAATAGCTCTGATTGCGTGACTCAGAGGGGTGCTGCAAAGAAGGCAACGTTGAGCCGGAGTTGAAAGATGACTGAGTATTTACCAGGTAGAATGTTCATGAAGGGGTTTGTTTACTTAGGTTTAGTTGATCGTAAAGAACTAACATGCATCCCCTTTAGCTAAACAAGAGGGTTGTGTGTGTAACTGCTCAGGAGATAAAACCTCATGGGAAACCTCGATGGGACTTCGTGGGTCCTGGGTGGGGAGGGCAGTTCTGCGTGTGAGGCTCCTCTACTGTCCTCAGCAGCCAGAGTCACTAAATCTTCAATTAAAAAAAAAACAATTAGAGAAAGAGAAAGAGAGAGAGAGAGAGAGAGAGAATCTCCCATCTACTCGCTCACTCTCCATATGGTAAGGCTGGGAATGAAACCAACAGCCAGAAACTCAATATAGGTCTCCCTCATGGGTAGCAGGAATCCAACTACTTCAGCCATCACCACTCCCTCCCAGGGCTTGCATTAGCAGGAAGCTGTAGTCAGAGCCAATCTTACTGAACCCAGGTGCTCCAGTGCAGAATGTGGGTGTCTAAACCAGTGTCAAACTGCTAAGCTAACCCACTGCCCTACAGAACCACATCTTTAATGTCCACCTCCTGTCTTGTCTGCTCTTCTTACCTACATTGACTTGATTCTCTCTACACATTAACATAATATGCAACTGGAAAGATGGTTTAGATTAGAACAAGATCATGAAGGGTTCTGTTTGGCCAGGCAGGTTGGTTTATCAGGGTGGCCACTGAAGATTTTAAGCAGGAGGAAGAAATGATCAGATTTGGCTTTGAGACAGATAGTTCTGGAGATTTGTGGAGAGAGACAGAGGGTGGCGACCAGGGAAGAAAACATTCTACATGAGAAACAATAAAGGTGAGAATCAATAGTACTCAGTGAGGATTGTAGCAACCTACATCCTACCTTGGCCAGAAACTTCTATATTCCCTTAGGCTGTGGGGGAAGGAGAGTTAAACCATCTGAGGTTTTGTTTTTTTTTTTTTTCCATTTTTTAAAGAATTTCTTTGTTGATCTTGGTTAAGAACTACTGGCCCTAACAAGACAATGCCTATGGGAATAGAGAAGTGAGAACAGATGGAAGAGAGGTTTGGCCTTGGAAGTCAGCTGGGCTGGTGGAGGAAGAAATCCAATGAACTCTACAGTTTCCAGCTTAGGAAGCTGGGTGGATAATGGCTTCATGTTATAGGACTTGGGGAATGCATAGCTGGGAGAGTTTATGTTTGGAAATGTGGACAAGTGGGAAGCTGAGAGAATTGTGTTTAATCCCACAGAGAGCCTGGGAACTCAGGCCCAGTGAGTGGGCCCTGCAGGGCAGGGAGCAGGAGATGGGCTGACTCCAACCAGCCCTCTGGTTTTTTTCTGCCGTGGGGCAGACTTTGTTGTTGAACAAGATGCTCTCTGTACATTAATTAGGTGGGCAGATGCGCAGTCCTAGGGCTAGCATGGACTTTGCTAACCCTCAGCCCCTTGGTCTGGAATGGTACATGCCTGGTGCCATCAGTCAGATCCCAGGATTCCATTTCAGATTGTTCCACTGAAGAGACTGGAGGAGGATGATTTGCAGAGATGTAGGCCAGGCTAGGGAACCCACATCCAGGCCTGAAGGGATGGTTGCCAGATGGTGCTACTGGAGCCCTGTGGACACTGGGGCTGTGGAGGAAAAGCCAGCATTGAGCAGTAATTAGCCAGGAGGGGCAGGCAAGAAATACCCCTCTGACCATGTGCCCCCTCCTTCCAGCCTCCTGCTGGGGCCCCCTGTTGGCTAGTGCCAGCTGGAAGGCAGCCATCAGGGAGTCCAGGCAGGGAAGGGTAGAGAGTAAATGAGGTGTGTGGGTTCAGGGTGGCCACAGCCCAGGTAAGGCAGCATGGAATACTCCATGGCATGGTAGGCAGACCATCAGGAAGTCAAGACCCTACCCTGCTGCACACCGGCCTTCTTGAGGGATGCAGGACTGGCATCTTGGGCCTCAACTGCTTCAGCTGTAAAATGAATATGTTGAACCAGGTGACCTTCGGAGCCTTCCAGCAGAGGGTCCCTTGACACAGCAATAAGTGACCGTGCTGGACAAGGGAGCCCTGGAGAGTCCTGGGGCAGGCCAGCATCTGTGCCTGGTCCTGGTGCTCCTCTCTTCCAGCGAACCCATGGGACCTGCACAGTCAACCAGGGACTTTCTTGAACGTACTCTTCACTGTGGTAAGGTACATTCAAAAAGAAAGCAGAGAACATTCATCTCCAGAGAGCAGTAGCCTCGCAGACCTGCGCTGCTGCAGCTCCGAGTCCTGGTGCCCCATGCTTAGTTCCTGATAACTGAAGATGAAACTTGAACAACAAAAGGGAAGTCTCCTGTCTCCTCCAGGGTATCAAATCCTGTTTCTAGATGGTTTCAGTTCTTAAAGACACAGGATTCCATATTTTCTCACCAATGAGCTGCAGGC